AGCCTCTTCGAAATGCGCAACAAGTGGAGTCAGGCGGGAGCTAAGAGGACGTTCTTGAAGGGTACTGATGCAGAGCAGTTACTTATATTGGAGCGTATTGCTGCTGTCGAAGGACTTGAAACTTACTGCGTTCAAGATGCTGGCAGAACTCAGATAGAGGCAGGATCTTTGACAGTTTTGTCTATCTTTGGTTCCAGTCCATTGGTTGATAGAGTAACGGGAAATTTGGCGCAGTATGAATAAAGCTATTAGAGACTGAGATGGCTTTCAAAGGCACGTTTTGGCTTATAAATTTCTGACGTTTAACCTTGATGGATACAAGCCAAAATTGCGGCAGTATGCTGAAATGTCATGAGGATTACAAAGACTGACAAGTTATCCTATAATACTGTAGGATGGACGGTGACTGAAATGCCTACCAACTGGGTGTGGTATTAATTTTTGGTGTATTCTTGGCGACAGTGTTCCTGACAAGGTTTGCCGTGTGCATGTTTCTGTATTTTTTAAATTTTGCCATCATTGTTTGATATGTCTGTTAAGTAAAAGCAGTCGTCGGTTGTACTCGTTGCATTCTCATTCAGTTAATGTATTTTATGTTATAACAGGGTTTGGTAATGACATGGTCACAAGTTTTCCATCTGCCGAACAATATTAAGCTTAGAAAAAATATTTATTTTGATACGCACCGCTACATGTAAGCTGTAGGCTAGTGAATTAACAACAAAAATGCTTTAACGCAGATATGCTACAAAATCATATCTGTATTTTCAAACAGTTCTAACCGTAACCAAAGGTTTCCGTCGCTTTCTAGCGCGCAAATGTCAAGAGCTGTGTTGAACGAATGTTAAAACCAGCTGGCTGAAGCTTTGTCAAACTCAGATTTTCCAACTAGAATACATAATTTGTATGCAGGTTTTGGTTGTTTAGGGCTTCGAAGACCATGCGCTGTGATTGCAACACGATCCTCATTCAGCACAAAATATTGTGAACCAACATCCATGTCGGAGTTCATTTGTGTCACGACAGACGTAGTTAAAAATTATGCATACGGGCAAAATTGTCTAGCATGCTTGTGAAATCGCATGTGCCTTCTGAGTTGTTATGCGTTCCAACCATATGCGAACACGGATTTGTGTGTGATCGGTGTTTTGAGCGGCGACTAGAATCAAGTGCATGAGAGTAAGAAATTTAACGGAAACAACGAGTTTCAAACGATTTTACCACTAAATATATATCACAAAAAGAGCAAAAAAATTATTATAATACATGTAATCATAATGGACGCAAGAATAACAACGGCCCACCGACTGAATTCACAGATCATCATACCACGATACAAAATTACTATAGTCATTTTAATCCACTCCATCGTGCGAAAGGATATCTACCTACCTAGAACTCCATCCGCTGCATCCATTCTACGCCATCCAACAACGTTGCTGAAAACCACTGGCGCACCACAGTGCCGTCACTTTGTAGGAAAGTGAAGATAGAAACATCATTGCATATAGTGAGAATGAAACGCAAAAAAATAACGATGGCGAACAGACTGAATGAAACATTAACATATGCATATGACAGAGCAGCAATATACACGATGATAGCTTGATACAGTTAAGTTAGTCCATTCTATTGTGCATAACGGCCTGCTTCCAGCCATTTCACAAGCAAGTTCACTTTACGCCAGCAAGGACACTGCGACGACGGGCTAATGCAGGACAAACCGTCGACAGCCACCGACACGCAGCAGGGCCGTCAGTTTGTCTGATAACGGGCAACTACATCATGTAGGTTGGATTTCCTTAAACTTGATTGACTAAAATTTTAACACAAATGGCATAGCACTAATGGGATTTGTCTATCGTAATAAGAGGGTACGGTGCGGAGTTTAGCAAAGCTAAGTTATAAGACATGACAATCGCTTGACTACGGTATACACTGCTGTTCGTCCGGTATGTTCTTCAACGTTGGAAACTGAAATGTAACGATATGTGATGTATAAGGCAGTAAAATTGCGATAATGATGCTGCCTAGGACTGTTTCTACTAAATTTTCGAGTGGTTATAATTAACCCGTTTTCTCTTCTCTTTTCCTGATGTTCTTCAGCTGAACTTCAGACTTGAAGATTATGTCTAGGTAACTCACACTTATGTATGTAATGTCTGAACAGTTCTCAATCGATTATTGACTCTCCTATTTGAAAAAAGGTTGCCTTACTCTCATTCGTACAGTCTAAAAGCAATGCAAGATGTTAACGCCGCAATGAGTTGTTTATAATTCTCATTGTCTGACAACTTCTTTTTCTGAGATATGGGTGGAAGCGATCATCATGAGCCGTTCAAAGTTCCAGACTATAAAGTATATGATAACTGGAGGCAGTATCCGGAGCTAGTACAACATCAGGAACGATTGGCACGACTTGGATTGAAAGACCCATGGATAAGGTTCTGTCTTTTGAATTACTTTACGCAGCATTCTTAATTACATATTCTTTAGGAATTATGTCTGGATTTTTGACAGAAGAAACCTCACACAGTGGCAGTTACTAAGAAAATCGGTTTTTGGAGGATTCGGAGTTGGTATCTGCTATGCGGTAGTAGGTGTTTTGTTGACAGAGGGGGTTTTGTGGTGGAAACAACAAAAGCGCCTCAAAGCCAAGGCAGTCAACCACTCCGAGTAGTCTATAGTTGCGCAGGCTGTTGAACCGTTAATGTTGGTCTGTATATTTTTTCCTGATTATTTGCTATTCTGTTTGTCAAGTGACCATTATTTGCCTAGAACATAATTTGTAATCGGCGCAATAGTTATAGATAAGTGGATTTTTGCTTTTGTTTTTTCCGTAGACGTGTTGTTGATGTTGTTGCATCATGCGACGTCTGTCATATTGGTTTATAAACGATTCAAAGCGAGTGAAATTCCTTTTATCACAGTTGTTGCTTGCATCTTATGTTGCCGACCCATTCGTTAATATCTCATACTACTCGATCATGCACGCTAAAAAGTAGTCAAAGATTTTACATGCTTGCTGAATTGTTGCAGAGAACTACGCTCCACCAGAAACCCCTCACGTTTTATGAAGACTTTTGCCGTGGTCTGTGGGCTCTGAAATGGCAGAGTAATACAACCGATTTTTAATTCACACTCTCATCAGTATGTCGGATATGATTCAGCAGATGGAGAGAGCAACGAGTTTCTACAGGATTGGTTACGTTGGTTTTTCTCTTCAGCTACCGCACCTCAAAGACGAGCCGATGTTGTTTACAAAGGCTATCACTTTATAGATGCATTGGTCCCATTCTGGCCACAGCAAGAAGTTTGCCATGTTTTTTCAGGCCGGGGTTGCTCTGTCGGTCGAACGTCCGACTCAGAACCTAGAGGTCCAGGACAGCCCCAGTTGTAGTCACTCGCCTTTCTTTCGAGACTGATAAATGAGTACCGCTCTGTTGAAAGGAAACAAGTGAAATCACGCTATGCTTATAGCAGCTGCTGTCGGTCGAATCTCTATTTAAAATAAACCGTTTCTGGCTGATGACGCGGAAATGGAGATTAGTGTCACACCGTTAAATTTATGAAAACATCATCATCATCATCATCTTCCATCGCCGCTTCTCCTTTCGGGTCGCGGAGGCAGACGCGTCAGACA